AAATGATTCAGCTGATAGCGAGGAAAACAAATGGTCCTATTTCAGACCCTAAAAAACCGATATATGGATAATTTTCATAGTTCTCTCTAACTGATCTTCCTGTTTCTAGTTAATTCTCATCAGGGACTTATGGGACTGGGTATTTTGAGAAACCATCCATTTAATCACTCATGATTCTTCATTGCCTTCAGATACAAAACAAAATGAAAACTACTCGGTACCTGTCCCGGTCTTCAGCCATCTGGTTATCTCTCCCCATTCGGACTTGATTTCTCTGCATTCTCTTGCCAACCAGATGACCAAACTAAACGCCTATGCTCGCTCACTGATGAGTTTGCTGTTGGACCTTTAATTTGTTATTTGTTTCCACATACAATGACCTCTTTACCAATCTGATATATACCTAAAAACCTATATTAAGTTCTATCTCTGTAAAATAGTCTTACCCAGGCGCAACCTGAAAAGGTTAATCTTTCCAAGAACTCTGCAGTAGCTATTACCTATACAATCTATTAGGCATCAATTATTTGCCGTCTAATGATATCTCTTCAATGTTGTCTTTTTTTAAAATCATTTTATTGGGGGCTCGTACAATTCTTATCACAATCCATACATACATCTATTGTGTCAAGCACATTTGTACATTTGTTGCCATCATCATTCTCAAAACATTTGCTCTCCACTTAAGCCCCTGATATCAGCTCCTCATTTTTCCCCTCCCTCCCCACTGCCCCCTCCCTCATGAACCCTTGATAATTTATAAATTATTACTATTTTGTCATATCTTACACTCTCCGATGTCTCCCTTCACTCACTTTTCTGTTGTCTGTCCCCCATAGAGGAGGTTATACGTAGATCCCTGTAATCGGTTCCCCCTTTCTACCCCCCCTTGCCTCCACCCTCCAGGTATCACCACTGGTCCTGAAGGGGTCATCTGTCCTGGATTCCCTGTGTTTCCAGTTCCTATCTCTACCAGTGTAAATCCTCTGGTCTAGCCAGAATTGTAAGGTAGATTTGGGATCATGATAGTTGGGGGGGAGGAAGCATTTAAGAACTAGAGGAAAGTTGTATGTTCCATCATTACTACCCTGACTTATACTTTCATTTTATGTTCACAAATTCATGACTTGATAAATTGAATTTGTTGAGCACAGGGGCTAGTTATTCCATACTATCTAGTTCACTTTACACATAGAAAATACTAATCAATATTTATTTATTGTAATATTTTGTGATATTGAATTTATGCATCTAAATTGTATGATTATCTCTTAGTCAATGACTTTTCACTAATTCTCTGCTAACTTGTGTCTACTGGCTCCCTGATTTGCTTCTCATACAGTATCTGCTTTCATTGGGAATCTGCCATATTCAATGTATTTGTGTAGATAGACATTTGTCGTTCCATTCTCTTGTATGTTGAATTTAGGTCTATGTCTTCTGCTTTGCATCTCCCACGATCCTCCATGAGGATATTGTAAATTTGAGAAAATGCTAAATTAATATTTCAAATTGTGGTGGAGTGAAATTTCTTAATATGGTTTTTCTACCCATTTCTACGGGGAGCCTTGGTGATGTGGTGGTTATGCTCTGGGCTTCTAACTGCAAGGGCAGCAGTTTGAAACCACCAGCTGCTACCCTGGAGACAGATGAGAATTTTCACTCCTGTAAAGTGTTATAGTCTCAGAAAACCATGTTCTATAGGGTTGCTATGATTTGGAAACAACCAGAAGGCAGTGCGTTTTATTTTTTCACCCATTTCTCTGTAACTCGCACCAACTGATGGGTGGGACTATGCAAACAGGTCATGTATAACAGGAATAGAGGGGATTAATCTAAATGAGCTATTAATGCAAATCAATTCGAATTAAAATGGCATCAAGTTCTTTTCATGGGGCCTGACAAGCTAAACAGTATTTGCCAGAGAAAAATCTTCAAAATGGTCAAAACATTAAGTGGGGTGGGGGTGGGGGAGTAGAATAACACAGTTCTTACCAGATAGCAAAGATTATGTGTGTGAGCATAATAATTGAAATAGCATGGCGTTGCGGTTGGTATAATTTCATCCCAGGATGGGAACAACCAGAAAGTGAAGAAAGGACTTGATGATATATTCAGAAGCAATTGAGCATATAATTAGAAGGCTTGGATTCTAATCTATCATCTATGCTATTAGTGGTCCTGTGGTGCTGGATAAAGCAAAAAACAGTTAATTCGTGTATTTCTTCATTTTTCAAAGAACAAAAACAAATTGAATGGTTAACGTGTAACTGCAGCAAACATCAGGAAATCAGAGAGGAATTCCTAGCAAGTAACTGTTTGGAAGTACCAGCTTTGGGCCAATCACTGTTTGGGGCACTTTCAAGCACAGTGATGCAGTTACAGCAAGTGGTATCGCCCTCATTCTCACACATGAAGAAATTGTTACACAAGGAAGCTAAGATTTTTCCAAGGTGATACAACTAATAAATATTAAGCCATGAATCTGATACCAGATCCCCTGACTCAAATATGATGCCTAGGAAAATATGCCCAAGTCTATTCACCCAAAGAGCCTTTAAACACACATGTAAACACTCCTTAGATATGCAGATTATGACCTCTCAGATAACAAAGCGGTTCTTTATTTCAGCGAAGGTGGATGGTCAGAGAAATTCTTCCTAAGTAAAAAGTACGATTTGAGTTTGCCAAGGAGTCTTGGTGGTAAGAGAGTGCAACACTTGCGAGCTATCCGAAAGGTTGGCAGTTCTCATCTACCCGCTGATTCGGAGGGAGAAAGACATGGTGATCTGATTAAAGCCTGGACAATACTCTGCGACAGCTCGTTCTCCTGTCACATGGGGTCACATGAGTTAAAATCAACCCGATGGCACCTAACAGCAGCAGGGATTTCAGATGACTGTGAGAATGGGGAGACGAAGGAACTGTGTCACAACTTTATCCGAGCAGACTCATCAGATTAAAGCACCTCTCCTCCTGCAGAGGCTTATGTGAGGGAGTGGGGAGAAAGCCAGCCACGTGGAAGTGATCAATCTCTCCATACATGGAAGAAAATAGAGAAGAAAATGATTGCCTCCCGAGCTATGTAAAACAACAGCAACAAAATGAATGTATTAGTCCTTCCAGTTGAGAGATGCTGGGCTAGTCCTCAAAGTAACAACTTCTTAAGGTAGCTTCAAAGGTCAGTTTGACCAGATGCTATTTTAGATTTATGAATTCATTTAAGCCCTAATCCTCTTATCAAATGAGACTCTACTGGTATGTATAACAAGAAAAGCTTGTAGCAGCCCTTCTCCACCAAGAAGCTAATAAAACCTTTACCTTGTTTGAGGGGTTGTTTTGTTTTGAATAGATCTGAATTTTCCTTCGGTTTTCATCATCCATTTATTGTTACCTTCTTTACCCCTCTCCTCGGTCTTTCCCAGACAGTAGCATGATTACTGTTTCCTCGCAGCGGGATCTTAATTCCGTTTCTTTGCTTAAGTTGAAATTTAAATAAACGCAATGGAAAATGTTTATTTCTAAGGAAATTGCGTACACCTAACCCATTCTCCTGATGTCTCTCCAGGCCACTTCTATTGGCATCTCTCTCCCTGGGCTGTGCTATGGCTTTCTTTCTGTCAGGCCGGAGATCACTGGTTCTGTTACACTGAGGCTCCCAAAACAGTTGTACACACTCCGCTTTTTTGTTGCAAAAGCTGGGGTTTTTCATTTTTAGGTTTTTATACCTTGTTTAGCAAAAGACAAACTGTTGGGCATAGTCCTGGATTCTATGAAGCATCTCGTATATCGGTACCAACCATACCATTTGGCTACCACAGCCTTGGATGCTCATTTGTTTTCTTCCCATTTCATATAGACAAAGGCATGGGGTCATGCGTGAACTTGATGCATTGGGGCCCCCTGCCCCCCCCAATAATCCCCACCTCACTCTTATCCCAACAGAATTGTAGTGACGACACTATATGGCAGAGTAGAACTGCCCCTGAGTATACCTGAGACTGAAAATCTCTGTGGGAGTCGAAGCTTACCATAAAGAAACTAGTAGAAAATTGTGATTAGGACATAGATTACATTTATGTAGATGGAGACTGGAGTGTTCTTTTAGGGCCAGATTGCCCAAATGCTTTAAATTTTAAAGATCTCTCTTTTTAAGGCTTACTTTCTTTGTGGATTTGAGACTTACATGAAATAGGTCTAATGTTATGTCTTGAAAACATCAGTAGATATATTCAGCATCAATAAATAATATAAATGAAATTGTTGGTAAACCTATAACGTGCTACTATAGAACTTTGTCACTTATTTTATTTTGAATTTCATTGGAAAAGCAGTAACTATCACTCTTAAAGTGGTATATTCCTTCTTTTTTCTTTGATTAAAGAAGTTCTCTAAGTAGAACTCTCTTTTATTTAAAATCACAAAGTGAGTAGGTAAAGAGTGCATTAAAAAATATAAGCAGGGGCTTGTTATGGCATACCCTTCTCGGTTCATGGAGTTGGGGAGATGGGCCCTTCCTGTCAGTATGCTCAGAGGCCCTCCGTGGCAGTCAAAGCAGGGTTTCCAAGCAGAATAGAAGGAAATTACCAGTCCAGGACCTGCCAAGCAATATCTGAGAAAGCATCCCCCGAACAATCAAGTACACCTAGCATTCCTACCTGGAGCAATCTTTTTTTCTTCTTCACTTTTATGACATCAATGCTTCGTATGTATCTGACATGAGAGTTAGCCTGGGAAAACCAATGGATGTGACCAACTACCTAGCTGAACCGGAGGAACTCAAGAGCCGCCATCACACAGACACACGAGGGTAGCGTCGATTTTGGATTTCCTCCAAGACTGTTTACAAGGACTACTATCCTCCAAGACTAATAGGTCCCTGTATTATAGCCCTAAACATAATCTACTCGTTTCCTCAAAAATCATGCATAGACTTACGTAAAACCTCGACCTCTAGCATGCCGATATCTAGTTACATCCTATCCGTCACTATTTCACAGGCACCCACTGTGAAGAGGACATCAATGAATGCGCTTCAGATCCTTGTCAAAATGGTGGCACCTGCGAAAACACACCTGGCAATCACACTTGCGGTGCACCGTTGGTCCCCATTCCAGAGCATCTTTTGGAGGAGAAGACTGTGCTGATATCCTCCTGGGATGTCTACGTCATCAGTGTCTAAATGGCCAGCATGGGTCCAGCTGCCTGTGTCCAGCTGGCTACACGGGATCGCTGTGTGAAACAGGCACCACTCTTTCTTCTGAGGGCAATGGCTTCCTGAGGGTGGCAGGTGGCTCGGGAAGGAGCAAGGGCTCCGCTTGTGACACCGCTCTGCGGTATAGGACTGTCCACGGCACGGCCCTGCTGCCCCTCCGAGGCCTCGGGAGCGCCTTTGTGAGGCTCGAGCTGCGGGACGGGCGTCTTCACCTCTCCGTTCAAGCCAGGCGTCAGTCCAAGGCCCTGCTGCGTCTTCCGCACAACACCAGCGACGGAGGGCGGCATTCCGTGGAGATAACGTTTGCAGAGCCCGTGACCCTCACCTCGCTCGATGCCTATTCCTGCGCAGAGAAATGCATCGCGACAGCTGTCTCCATTTGAAAGGAATCAACCAAGGTGCACTTTCCAAAACTCCTTTTTGGGTGGCTTCCCAAGAGGAAAGAGCAAACACGGTGACGTTCGGCTGAACACCTATCATATCCCATCCACACCTCCGTTTGTAGGCTGTCTCCGAGACATTAGGATGGATTTGAATCACATTACCGCAGAGAACATTTCATCAGGCCTGTCGTTCAATGTCAAGGCCAGCTGTGTGAAAAAGGATTGGTGTGACAGCAAACCTTGTCAAAATAGAGGGCGCTGCATCAACCTGTGGTTTGGTTACCAATGTGATTGCCACGGCCCTACGCAGGCCTGAGGTGTCTGAGAGGTGAGAGAGGCTGGGCACCCGGGGGGCAGGGGTGGGGTGGGGTTGGGGGAAGACTCAGAACAAGGCAGCAACCACTCTGCCTCTACCCACAGAGGACACCTAATGGCCCTTCTGCACCCCTGCTGCTGGCTTTCCAGTGATGAGATAAAGGAATTGGGTAGTGATGTGCACTAATTAACTTCAAGTGGATCTGGGAGACACCAGGGTTTCAATCCTGCAGAGCAGAAACCAAGCCAAACAAACAAACAAACAAAAGGCCTATGCCAATGGGCCTTTCATCCTAGTGTTTCTAAAATGACATTACCATTGGACTATTTTCCGGGTGTCAGAGACTTATTGTAAACCTTGTTTGAAAGTGAACTAATATTTTGGAGAGAAGGGCTTTAGACATGGAACCAGTCAATGGCAAGCCCAAGCACAATGTCTTGGGCACATTAGGTTCTCAGTTGATAATCATTCCCTTGCCCTCTCTTCTTTGCCATTCACACTTGGCTCACTTGATGTTGAAGCCAAGCACGTTTACAAACTTGATTCAAACGTACACTTTCCAGGGCCGCAGTGGGGAAAATGTTCTAGGTGGGTGTCTTCAAAGGAAAGGAGAGAGAGAAAAGGAAAACACAGAAAGTAACAACAATGAAACTTGGTGGATGCCATGAAATAATGGAACTAATTTCTCTAGCAAACCGTCACTAGAATTCTACATCAAAGTCCTTAACTTCCAACATCATTCCAGAGATTGTTGTTGATAGTGATCAATATGTACCTGTTTCTTTTTATTATTATCATATATTGACAAAGTCTGAGAGGTAATTTCAACAGTCTGCTTTGAAGTTTGGCAGTAATTTACCCAAGATTTTAGAATAACTTGAAGTAGGACAACATCTGGTAAGTAGAGTTCTCTGCTTTATATGAGCTAAAATGAAAACCAGTCTTAGGCTAAACCCTCGTTCCCGTGTATGAATTGCTAAACGTTATTAGAAACTATTCACGGGTTTCTCCCTGACCACAATATTCATTACAAATCATGGACCTGTTGGACAATGAAATATGGCATCTGCTGGCTCTATGTAATATTTTAAATGGAATGCCAAGTTGTTCTGTGGGCTTTTTTCAAGGGGGAAATTATGCTTGGGCACTATTCAGTTTTTGAAGAAAAATTTAATTGACACAAGGCAATATTTTTACTACAGATACAAAATAACAAACAGATGCTGACTCACTTTGACTGGTTTCCAGACACAGTGACCCATGAGGTTAATACTGACCACAGTGGTGCTAACTGTCCTAGGAAATCCATTCAAGGGATGCCAGGCCAGTGTGTCTGGTTTTCTCTGGTTCTTTTTTTACCCAACTTGGAAATTCATGAGATTTTAAAACCTAGTTGCTGATTTGTTCACCCTTCCCCCAAGGCTCTTCGGTTTCTTTATTCCTCACTCTATTTGAAACTCTTTAAGCCTCATTTTAAAAAATGCTTGTCTTCAAATGATTTCTTTGTAGGGACACAGGGTTTCTGTTAAATCTTTTCTTCATGAAAATTCCTGGTATACGTTTAAGGAGAATGATTTTTCTCTGGATCACCTCTCAGCCACAACATTAAACTATTTGTATTTCTATGGCGAGTATTTACTGGGGAGTTTACGCCCACCACAAAAGATAATCATAGCCCTTAATGAGAATGTGGGATGTTTGTTATTGTACATGCCACGTGCACAGAAGGGAGGAGATGTGCTCAAAGGCAGGCTTGACTAACTTCATGATTTTGCCTTCGTGTTGCCTTCCCGTGGTGACACTTCTCAACATACGAGCAGACTTGATGGAGGAATGAGTTGGCTAAGTCAACAACGGAGGACCCAGGGAATCTCAGTGTCTTAAAGATCTTTAGAAAACCAAGTCTCTTATTAAGAAGAGTTCTGTGAAAGGCTTCTCCATGTTTAGTTCTTAGAACTTTCTGCAAGTTCATCTCGGCATACCTGACTGTGTGTTGGCTGTGTAGAAGAGCACGGAGCTTCCACAGCTGTTCATAAGTACGTCTTCTCCTTGGGGAAGGCTTCCTTTGTAGGGGATCTTTCCATGTTTTATCTTCAGCCAGACACCTAGGATCTGTGAGTCCTGCACCCTTAGTATGACACTCTCTTGGGTATAGGAGAAAGGCCCCAGGTGGCGTAGTTAAGCACGCAGTTACTAACCGAAAGGCCAGCACTTCAAACCCACAAGCCTTTTCACAGGATGACGATGTAACGCTTCGCCTCAGCCTTGGGAACCCTGTGGGTCGGTTCTTCTTCTGTGCTCTCAGGCCACCTCTCAGGAGCCAGAATCGACTTGATGACAAAGGTCAGATTCAGAGGGGTTTGGTTGCATGATTAAAAATTGCTTACAGTGTTAAGCTTGTCCCAGTGTAAGGGTCCAAACCTGTGCTCAAACCTCTAGCGATGGAGAACTCACTCATCCTACCTTGCCGGACTTGTCCAAAAAGTGTTTCTGTCGACTGGATTAAAATATGAGTATCCATCGTTTTCCTTTATTGTCAGCATTTGAACTCCTGAAACCATACTAATACAAAGCTTACATCGTTATCTTTCCTCCATGTGAGGAAAATGAAGTAAGACATCCTACATTTGAAGAGAAGTCTTTTGTAGGATCCACGCCAACCCTTCTACGTGCTCAAACCCCTCCAGGTGGTCGTATTTCCCCGGTGGCATTGTTTCCGGCCATTTCCTCATTCCGTGTCTTTCTTTGGAATCAGTTCACTTGTGTTTATTCCTCTCCAATGTGCCTAGGCAGAGCTGACACACAATGCAGAGTAACATGATTAGAACGGGCCTCATTCCAGATTACATTCTTATATCTCCCAGCCTCTGATTACATTGATCAGCCACAGTCCATGCCTGGCTCCCTGTACGTCATTCTCACTGGGGGGGAATTCCTCCCAACCCAACCCACGAGGAAAGTAACCCTGAGGGACTGGTAGTCCTTCTTACAAACGTTCATCTTCTGTTCCATCAATCATTAAAATATGTTGCACTTATTTCTCATTTGCATGTGTTGTCCCTCTCCATGACACATTCATAACAAATGAGAATCATCCCCCTCTATGGCTACAGACAAGCGGTGTGTGGCTTCAGGCCTTTCTAACATCATATAGCAGATCGGACCACTTGATCATGGTTTCTGAAGAATAGGGCTTCTGGAAAGTCAAGCTTCTGAGGAAAAAAAATAAAAAGAAACCGTTTTGTATGTTTTATGCCTTTTAATCTATATCCCCAAAGTGATGCCACAGGCATCCTAGGATGACCAGCAGGGTTACCCCCATCTCCCCTCACCCTGATTCAGTGCATCTAACTAAACCTCTGGAGCTTTAAGAGTCAAATATTCTTAATAAGCATTTCATCTCCTACGAAAGTGTTGCCATGCATTCAGAGAGTTTAACCTCTTCAAACAGGGTTATTTTGTCTCACAGCACACTTTGAAAACTACCTGTGGTTGCCTGGAGCAGGCGGTCTCCAAATGCAAGTTCAAAATGCAAGTCAGAGTTCTGACAATATAGCCTTTTATGCAGGAAGTCTTAGAACACAGATGATTGCCCAAGCACGTTCAGCTAAATTACACGTGCCTTACCTTTGTCCAAATTTCAGTCGGACAGTGAGATGACATTTAAATACTCCTGAGTAAATTGGACATTTTTTTCTTTTGTTTTCATTTTTTCAGATTCTGATTGGGGTGTAAAATTTTGAAGAGCAGTCTCTTTAAGACAATGCCCAGTTCACCAGTGACTCTATTACAACATTCAGTGGGGAGGTGCCAGTCAGGAGCCGATGATCTGTCAGCAGCAGTGGACAGGACGGAACAGTCCCCTCTCCCAAAATCTCTTTGTGCCCCAGGCACCCCTCCCTTTGGGGCCTCCTCCTAGCTCACCGGCTGCCCTTTCTTCATCTCCTTGACCTCCAAATGGCTAACAGCTCTGGGCTCAGGTCTTGGATCTCATCGAGTCTCTGTATGTGCTCGCTTCGTTGTTGTTGTTGCTGCTGTGAGGTGCCATCAAGTCAGTCACCATCCAGAGCGGCCTATACACAACAGAAGAAACCCTGCACCGTCCTGCGCCAACCTCACCCTTGCTCCTACACTGGAGCCCCTGGTGGCAGTCACGTGTCAATCATCTCATTGAAGGCCTTCCTCTTTGTTGCTGCCCCTTCCCCCCACCATGATGTCCTTCTCCAGGGACACATCTGTCTTGCCAACCTGGCCTCTAAGGAGCACTCTGTCCTTACTTCTTCCAAGACAGATTGGTTTGTCTTTTCAGCAGTCCGTGGAACGTTCACTATTCATCTCCAGCACCACATTCAACTGCCTCCGTTCCTGTCTTCCTTATTCAATGTCCAACTGTCTTATGCACATAGGCGAAAGAACATACCACTGCTTGGCTCAGGAGCATTTTAGTCCTCAACGTAACATCCTTGCTGTTCAATACTTTAAAAAAAGTCATGCACTGCAGATTTACATAATACAACCCATCTTTTGATCTCTTGACTGCTGCTTCTGTGAACATTGATTGGAGATCCAAGCGTCCACATTTTCTTCATCTATTATGATGTTACCTGTTGGTCTGTTGTGAGGATTCTGGTCTTCTTGCATTGAGTGCTCATCCACACTGCAGGCTGCAATCCTTGATTCACATCAGCAAGTGCTTCATGTCCTCCATCCTCAGACTCAGCAGGCGACGTTGGGCCTCCTCATATGTTGGGCCTCCTCATATCGTAGGTTGGTCATAAGATTTCCTACATTCCTGATGCTGAATTCTTCTTCATATAATCCAGCTTCTCTTTTGATTTGCTCAGCATGCAGATCGCACAAGGATGATGAGAGGATACAACCCTGATTCCCACCTTTCCTGATTTTAAACCACGCCGTATGCCCTTCTTTGGTAATTACATGTCATCTTTTACTACCATATATGTCCTGATAAATACAAAATTATTATTGTGAGT